TTAATTTAAATAAAAAAAATTAAAATAACAAAATAAAATAACAGGAGTAATATGCAGCCTGTAAGTATCTTGTACTGAGTTTCTCTCAACCGGTTACAAGTAAATGTGGACCTGATCAGGCGTATCGTTGCCTGCCAATCCTCCTCAATATATTCATTGTTCAAGTCTTTTTCCCATCTATGAGAGATGTCTGGTAAATGGTATGAGACTGAAGAACCAAGAAGTGAGTAAAATTATGCTATAGAATGTTTTCTGTGTTTGCTCTCTCAGCAGCACTGTAAGAGATGTTAGTAGAGAAAGAAGTGGTCTGTGAAGACACAAAGTGCCTAATCTGTAAATACCAAAAAAAATGGTGCTTGGTAATATTGAATGTCTCCTGTAACTGCTGGAAGGACAGTAAGGTATTATCTCTCAATAAATCGCCAATTACATGAATTCCCTTGTCCCTCCAAGAGAGGAACGTGGGTGAGCTGACACCTGCAGGAATTTTGACGTTACGGAACACGTAAAGACTTCAACATTTCTTCTTTCTCCAGTATTTAGATATATCATCATATCACTGATACTTGTTGTAAATGATAAGATCCTTCGCCTTTTACTTCTGAATTTATCTTCTTGCTTCAACTCGTGATTAAGCTCCATGGGAGTAAGTGGTCGTGTGCATTTTTAAAGTCTCTAGAAGAGAGAGAGCTCTAGCTTTCTTCACTTTCAGATTAAAGGTTAAATTTTGAATTTTTTTTTAGAACCCAAAGTTCAAAGGAAACTAACCCCAGTGACAACCTGGAACTTTCAACCAGCTGTTTCTGACCAACCCAGTATTCTTAGATGAAGGAAGCAACGACGCCACAGCAGACGAGACCCAAGCAGATACACTTTATTAATGCCCCTAGGGAAATACACACACAAGCACACACACAGGCTGAAATTGCGACACTTTCATGCCCTTGTGGACCATGCAAAAGGGAGAAGAGAATGGTGGAGTGATGGGGCTGCCACGTTAACAGACCCCATGAAGCAGTTTTCTGGTCTCGATGGTTGATGTTAGAGATGTTCCAATACCATTGTTTCCATCCTTGATACCGATTCCGATATCATTTGCTGTGGTATCGCCCGATACGAGTACCGATCCGATACAGGTATGTTATAAAAAAAAAAATTATCATACAAAAAATACGCTGCATGACTGTGATATGATTTATCGATCTGTGGTAAGGCCTGCTCAGGTTAAACCCTTAGTTAAAACATGAATAAATCAGCAAATTCAAGCCATTTATTTTTAAATACAACGTAATAAAAAACAGTAGTGCAACAGCAACTATAAAAAATAAATCTAGGAATTATAAATTTTAATAATATATATATACTAATATACTTATATATAATAATATATAGTTATAGTAATAATATGATATGATCATGAATTCATCATAATTAAATGTAATCAGCCACAAGAACAGGGTTTATCTCCAGACAATAATTCTACAGGATTTTGTCTTTATCTTTTTGTTGCTTTTTGGCCTGTTCTGCTGGGAATTTTCTCTCGCTTGGAAGGCAGCTTCCAGAAGTTTGCGCTGTGGCTCGTCCTTCTTTTTCTCCTTTTGTTTTAGAAAATTCTCGTGCTCTTTAGGTGACGGCTTTCAGTGTGTTCATTTAAATTGCTGTGCGTTAAAAAAACACTCGTGCCACCCCCTTGAGATTTTATCTTTGCACACGTTAACATGTCGCAGTCTTACTATGGTGGGAGATTCAGTGCGAAATATTCCACACGCTGAGCATGATAGTCTACTTACCTTAGCTTCAAGCCCTCGCGTCAACCGCTCTGACACACGTGTGTGTCTGTTGTGTCTTCATGTGATCAATTCTTCCTCGTCCCTCTAAAACAGCAGCTGCAAGTTGCAGCCACAGCCCCACTGTTTTAAGAGCGCGAAGAAGAACTGTACCAGACTTAACGGAGCTAACTAGTAAATAATTAACTATTAATTACATAAATGACGTGTACTCGGATGCGGTGCCTGACTCCAGTACTCGCCATACGATGCCAAGCCATTTTCGCAGTATCGAAAGTCATTATTCCGGATACTGTATCGGAATGGGGAACAACTCTTAGTTAGTTGCCTTGCTCACAGGCAACTCAGCAGTCGCACAGGAGTATCCCAAGCAAGTCCCTACACACTGAGCTAGTCTGCCACCCCAACCAATGAGACTCTCTGTATGATGTCATCCTAACAGCTTTGATCCTTCATATGATTAATCTCTGCTGAAACTGTTTCGTGTCTGTACAGAGAAGAGCATTAACAACTACCCGATGCTCTGACTGCAAGTGCTGGAATCATTAATGCAGATGGAACATTTCCATCCTGTCAGCCACACACACAGTAAGTTAAGCTTCACATCAGACACCTGAATTCTGTCCAACAGCAGTGAATCATTGATCCTACTAATGTTCTGTAAAAAAATCTCCCTTCGTCATGTCTAGATGTGAATTCAAAGAAATGCGTCTGCTACTAAAAGCAGGAACTGTTTCAACTGATGCTGAATTGAGAACAAATTCCAAACTCAACAGAGACTGTGATCGGTGTTTTGTGCAGCATCTTGCTTTTTTATTAATTGGAGGAGCTGTAGTTTGTATTGTTGACGAGAAAGGATATCCAAAAACATAAGTATGATTTTTTCATTTAAACAAAAACACTATAATGTTTTTTGATGGTTAATAATATTGTGTGCACATCAATAAGTGTTGAATTGAGTCTGTTTTTATTGTTAGGTTTTATTACAAGAAGAAGAAAATTAATAAGAATGCCAATCGCGGTAAATGTTTTGTACTCTCTTTACTGTTATTACTGGATCTACTTTACTGTATGCTACAGTAGTAAGGAGAAATATTTATTTCAACTAATGAAATGATGTCACTTGTTATGATTATTTAGGTAGAAGAAACATCAGTGATGTTTCAGACCAGAGTCCACAGCAGCAGGTAAGAACAGAGTTGGTTCTTCCATGTAAAATGTTCATTGACTGACTGGAGGCCTACATCTCTAATGCTTACCCTGACAATATAATATAAAAATGTTTTCTGTTCAACTCCTTTGTTCTGAGGTCACTGGACCATCCTGTTAAAACAGATAAATGGAGACACACTCTGTTCCTCCACGTGCCTCCCCAGAGCTAGCAACATGTTTACTGTCCTGGAGGAAACTTGGTAATCTTCATCTCCTCCACCTCCAGAACTCTTTCTCCCTAAACCATGCGCCCAGGCACATGCTTCAGAACTTGGTTAAACAGGGAGGATCCAGTACTTCCTCGCCCTGTTCCAGATGTTCACCCAAGCGAGAACCTCAGGGAACACGTTCCTGCTTCCAGCTGCCTTCTGCTTCACCTTGATTTACTAACGACCCTCCATCGTTCTCAGACGTTAAGAAGAGATGGCAAAAACCGTTTGGTTTCCCAAGGTGGCAACAGGTCGATTTATAACAGATAAATCATTACTATTCTTAAACAGTGATCCCCATGCAGAAGCTGTAGTTATTCATGTCGGTGACAAAACACATTCCTCTTCAGCAGTACGGAGCTACTAAAGCAGGTTAATCATTCTCAGCATGTTGTTTCTAAATCTTCTAGTCCGCTCCCGCAATCCAAACAAGGCATGGTAGCGTATTCATCGATTCGAGTTTAATAACTTTAATTCAATCAACTACGCATGAACCTGGTGACAATTTGAATCTATTCTGGACACACCAAAACTTTTTTAAAAATACGGATGGTTATCCATCCTATTTTTTTGGTCACTATATGTACGACTGACAAATATAAATAGGTTTGAAATTACTGCTTTGTGAGACTGAACAATCATTTCCAGTACTTTGTCAACTTTTATACAAGAAGCAAAGAATTCCAACAAGGTTGTTATAAAAAATTGTCTGCATTATTTTTTTTTT